CACGCAGAGCCCTCTCTGTGGGCACGCGCACCATCACCCCAATCCTAGGCCTTCAGCTGGGTTGTATAAAACCTTTTTGCTTTAGGCCTCCCCCACAAAAAAAAGGTTCAATCAATCAATTTCAACTTCTCACAGAAAAAAAAAAGATCTCACAAAGTTGGAATTGATTGATTGAACTTTTTAGTCCCACCCAGTCTGCCGTTACCACTGTAGCCACGCCCATTCAATGGGCCATACACACCCAATGGGCCATGCCCACATGGTATTCAACTATACATAAGTGGGTTTTGGGTTGCAGTTTGGGCACTCGGTCTCTAAAAGGTTCGCCATCACTGTTCTAAGATAATTTCATCATAGAACCTGTCTTAGTTGGAAAGCTAAGCTGTGTTTGTATTAATCTGTTGCTCTTCTTTAAAACATTTTTAAAGATAAAGGCTACAATCAAGTGATGCCTGATCAATATTAATCAGACATGCTCTGCTGTCTGATTTATGAACACTGAAAGATGAAGTGAGGAGTTTAAAAAAGCAAATTAAAAGTTATAATTATGTCAGTCAGAAACATCAAAATTTTATGTTTTCTCATTAGTTTTACAAGTAAAATAAAGTCAAAATATTCTGTCCCAAACATAAGTGTCATTATGATCTGGACATTGATGAATCTTTTCTGTTGCCATTTTTACCATAAGTTATGCTGAATATAAAAAAAAAATTCTGGGATATGTAGATAAATTTTATATCACCTGCCCTTTTCAGATTGTAACACAAAAACTACAAAGCAGAACATTTTTGCGTGCTTGTCTGTAAAACACCAACCCTTAGTTTAGGTAAGCCACTTATTTACAATGCATATTTTTAAAGACCATCTTACTAAATTAAAATATATTTTATTAAATTGTTATTGGCCATAATATTTGTAAAAATGAAATATTGGTTCTTTACATTAAAAACTCCATTCTAAAATGTATCCGATAAAAAACATAGATTAAAAATATTTAATATTTAATTCAGACAAATATTAACATAGAATTTTAAAAATTAGAGCTTACATATATAGCGCACTGCAATAATCCAGGCATGTTATTTTGAAATTCAAAATATTTTTATTTAAAACTAATACAGATTTCCTGAAATCTGATCTACCCAAAACTATCTCTTCATTTGCACCAGTATGTCCACTTTCCTAAATTGAAGGTCCTTGTTCAGTTGAGAGAAGAAAGGGAGTTGGAGACAAAATGATTTGTTATGCCAGTTTCTGGTCTCGAGTGGGCCAATCATACTTTCCAGCCTAAGTATCTCAAGACAATTATATTACGAAAAGCCTTGAACTCCTATATAAAAGACAGGATATAAATTAAAAATATATATTCATGGCTAAAGTAGATTTATTTATATCTTTTGAATAATGTGCTTGTAACTGATGAGGAATAGTTTTTTCCGCCAATAAAATGTTTTGGTTATGTTAGCTTTCCTTTAAACAATACAGTACTAGTGAATGTCCATTTGAAGTAAATTAAAATATTTTTCTTAAATGAAAAAGGCTTGTGGAGAAAGGGAGTAAAAAAGGCATAGTTACTAATTTTTACATGGGTGGAGAATTAAACAATGTAGTTTGATGATGTAATCCATTAGTTGGCCTCTGGCACTTGCTCAACCAGTTTGCATGGTGCTTAGTGTGCCATAGAAACCCTGTGTGTGGTGAATGTTTTTTATAGTTATGTCTGCAGTTAGAAACTAAAAGCATTATTGCAATGTCTGCTTGGGCCAGATGAGAAAATTATGGTTTATGTGGAGAATACATGATTAGTCTGAGAAAATCTTTATTTGCTTATAAGTTTATTGAATAAAAAAGTTAAATGATATTTAACAATTTCCAAGTCTTTAGCTCACATATCTAACAAAACCATGTATCGTGATTTGCAAACATCAGGGTTCATAGTATGGTTGCATAGGTTGCAGTTGCATAGTATGACTGAAGAACTTAAGTAGTATATTGTAAATAGTGATAATTTAATCTTAAAAACATTTGAGATTTAATATGAAATTATAGGATAATAATGATTACATTTATATAGCTGCCCATCTTAAATCAAAATTGGGCAGTTTACAATCGAAAATTAAAATAATACATACAGCACTAAAAACAAAAGTAATATGCAAGATAGGGTGTAGGTAATCCTTGATTTATAACTACAATTGAGCCCAAAAATTATATTGCTAAATGAGAAGTTTTGCCCCATTTTACGTCTTTTCTTTCCACGTTTGTTAAGTGAATCACTGCAGTTGTTAAATTAGTAACATGGTTGTTAAGTAGATCTGGTTTCCCCATTGACTTTGCTTGTCATAAGGTTGCAAAAGGAGATCACATGACCCTGGGACAATGTGACCATCATAAATATGAATCAGTTGCCAAGCATGCAAATGTAAATCACAAGACCCTGAGGATGCTGCAACAGTCATAAGTGTGAAAAATGGTCATAAGTCACTTTTTTTTAGTGCTGTTGTAACTTTGAACGATCAATAATGAACTGCTTGTAAGCTGAGGAATACCTGTACAAGTATTTTAGTAAGAATTTTGTATATAATAAAAACTCATAAATTGCATATGTCACCAATATTATAGTTTATTTAGCTTAAAAACTTTTTCTTGCCTGGAACAGTTTTTTTTTAATGTGACAAATGGTGATTTTGCTGACTGGTTCAATTAAACATAAAATTATTTAACTCTTCAGAGTGTGCTGCTGATAATTTCATACTGAAGAAAAGAAAGCAGTAACATGTCTGGAGTACAGTCCAGGGACAGTTGTTGAATAAAGAACAGTATTTTAAACACACATCTTGTGTTGAGGAAATCTAGACAAACTAGTTCCTAGTTTTTTCAAACACCTACGTTTATAATATTCAAAGTTGTAAATTGAAGCTTCATTTAGGATAGGTCAGCAGTCAGATATGGCTGCTGAGGTTCTTATATTGAAAATCTGGATTGACTGGTAAACCAATTAATGAACAGGTTTAGTTCAGTTGTCTTACTGGATTTTCTTGTTAGAAGGTTTCATGTAGAAGTTTTCACTTAATTCAAATTTGAATATCTGAAAGCTGTGTGTGTGTGTGTAATCAGAAATTAATATCTTGCCAACATAATTGGAAGTGACTTAGAAAATATAGTCAAACTATTTCATAAATCAAATTGATCCAGTTTGGTGTAGTGGTTAAGGCACTGTGCTAGAAACCAGGAAGTTTACAAACTGGGAGACCATAAATTCTAGTTTTGCTTTAAGCATAGAGCCATCTGGCTGATCAAGTTCTGGATTAGAAAGCAATTAAGAGTTCCATGCTATGCTACAGTTATTCGCTCTAAAGTTATTCAGTGCTATGCTCAAGTTAGTCACAAGCTGAGTTAAAAATGAATTTTTAACATAGCTTGTGAATAACCTGAGCATGGGAGATATTGCATAATTATTACAATGTCAATAATGCTTCCCCAAATACTCCTAGATTATAGGAGAAAGTTTTACTTTTGGAAATATGACAGCAAGGAAATTATTTTGATATATAAAGTGTTTCAAGGGCATGTTAGAGATACATGCTTTTTTGTCCAGCAGAATGTGAATATAACTTGAGTTTACTATACCTATCTTTTCAAGTCCTTATCCCATTTCTTTGAGCAATAAGCTGTTCCATGACGTACTCTATTTGGGCTTGGTTTCCTTTGGAAGGAAGCAAAATAAACTTAACTTGACGAACAGTTATATACAGTACCCAGCCAGCATCCACTACTTTAAATAAAATCTCTATAAAGCGGCAACTCTAGTCTTACCAAATACTGATTGGGCAAGACCTGGCTTAACTGTGAGAGGGACCTTGGAATCCTAGTGGACGATCACTTGACCATGAGCCAGCAGTGTGCAGCAGCAGCCAAAAAAGCTAATACAATACTGGGTTGTATAAACAGAGGCATAGAATCAAGATCATGCAAAGTATTAGTACCGCTTTATAAAACCCTAGTAAGATCACACCTGGAATACTGCAGCCAATTTTGGTCACCATATCACAAAAAAAATGTTGAGAGTTTGGAAAAAATTCAGAGAAGAGCAACTAAGATGATCAAAGGCCTGGAGAATAAAACATATGAAGAATGGCTACAGGACTTGGGTTTGGCTAGTCTAAAGAAAAAAGAAATAGGGGAGACATGATAGCAGTGTTCCGGTATCTGAGAGGCTGCCACAAGGCAGAGGGGGCCAGGTTGTTCACCAAAGCACCAGAGGGAAGGACGAGAAACAAAGGTTAGAAACTGATCAAAGAGAGAAGCCATCTGGAATTAAGGAGAAACTTCCTGACAGTGAGGACAATCAACCAGTGGAACTGCTTACCCCCAGAAATCGTGGGCGCTCCATAAATGGAGATTTTTAAGAAGAGGCTAGACATTCACCTGTTTGAGACGGTATAGGTTCTCCTGCTTGAGCAGGGGGCTGGACTAGAAGACCTCCAAGGTCCCTTCCAGCTCTATTCTATTTGTCCAGCTAGTAGTTTTGTATATCTGACAGCCTCTAAATCAGAGTTTTTAACAAGTGGTCCATAGATTTTGAGAGTTGACAACTTGGATAGGAAAAGAAATTACTATTTTATTTTTTACTAAACTTTAACTGAATTTAGCTTTAATTCAGTAAAGAATGTAGGCAATAAAGCAATTTATTGTCTCTCAATTCCAAAAATAATCATTAACTTCAATATATCTAAAATTACTTGCATTAATTTTTAATATTTTGATAACTGTATTTGGGCACAGTTTTTCCTTTAAAACAATTATATTATTATGTGTTTGCTACTTTTTTTTAAGGAATCAGTTTTCACCAGATTCTTAAAGGGGTCTTTGGCCCAAAGAGACTAAGAACTCTTTCTCTAAATAAATTATGCTGCTTCTTAAGTAAACATTTACTTGATTTTATAATCAGAAACTTAAAACTAAGTTAACTTAATTATATTTCTGTCTTTCTGTTTTAGGGTCTGAAGTGCAACAGACCCCAGTTCTTGGAATATATAAAAAAAGATGGCAACTCAAGGTATGGATTAGTATAATCAAGTTCAAATGGAAATTAAATAAATTGTGATCACTTGGGTGTAAATGCCAATTTTCAGTTCTTATAAATAGTAAGAAATTGAATTTATATATGAAATTACATCTAAAATTCTACTAGTTTTAACAACTTGATTTGATGTTTAATGATAAACAGAACTAGTACCTGTTCTGCTTTGCACCATTGTAGAGATGCTCAGTCATTTAACCTTAAGTGGAATTTTAAAGTAACTATTTAAAAAAAATAGTGAAACATAGGTATGCACTTTTAATGGAAAAAAGTTGTTTTGGATATGAAACATATCACAGTGTTCCAAATCTAGAACCCTCGTTGTTTAAATGAAATCTGGATGAGGCAAAGAGGGCAAAGCTAATGTCAATCATCTTCTCCTCCCCTCTACAGTTCACAGCACAATGTATCCGATTAGCCTATCTATCCCATTTTCTCACTGCCTTTTTTTCTTAGCCATCATCACAAACATCTCAGTGTAATATAGTCATCTCTTATACTCTGAAAGGAAATCCCATAATTTATCACAAAAGGTTTTTGTAAGATAATATATAATTCTCCAGCACCAGAGATGGAGAATCCACCAATGGGTTAGCTCTGCCTTCCTGCCCATTAGACCAAGTCAGCCAAACTTGCCACGCCTGTCTTGGGATAAGCCATCCCAGTCTTGACTTGGTCTTCAGCCCAGATGGACGTGGCAAATTTGGCTCCCGGTCTAAGGCAGGTAGTAGAGACTAATACATTGGTGGATTCTGTTCTCTTCACACTCACAGCTTTTTCAGCAGTGCTGGGATCAGCGCTGGGTGAAATAGTCTGTAGGAGGCTCAGGGAGTAGGTCTTTCCCAGATCTGAGGCTTTTGGTGAGGCTCCAGCTCCCTCCAAAAGGGGAAAGCCCTCATCAGCTGTTCAGCGCTGGGATCAGTGTTGCAGCCGAAGCCTATCAAGATCTCCCAGAGGGTGGGGATTTCCCCTCCGTCCCATCACTGAACTGAGAAACTGGCTGGGTTTCTGCTCCGTCGGATCGGCGGCCGCCATCTTTTCGGATCCCTTTCTTGCCGGCTTTCCTCTGTTGCTTCAAGCAGCCGCTGTGCTTCTCATTTCTTCGGATGAGGGACTCAAATGACGCGCCAGAGCCTTACCTTTCTCTTCGCCCTCAAGCGACCACTGTACTGAACCGAGCGGTTGCCTCGCCGCTGCGCCTGTTTGTCCCGGTCACCATTTTGGACGCTGGGACACACCGCGACAGCAGGAGGCACTTCCATCATGTTCAATTTTCCCACCATTTGAGCAGAAGTCTTTGTGAGCAACTATCACTTCTTCATGCCGAACTGTTCTGGTCGCCATTTTGGCTGCCAGAATAAACGCGGCAGCGGATCAGGCCGAGTAATCTCTGGTGGAGGTTTGAGCCTGATACAAGGATTGGTCCCTCTTTCTCCTCCTGAAGGAATGGAGAGCCGCGTGGCTGCAGAGGCCATTGCCAGCGGTTCATCTTGATCAACAGTCCCCCCTCCTATTAAAAAACCCCTATTGCAACGACCCGCTAACATTTGGGCCCACGCATAATCCTCAAAATTCTAATTCTCACAACTCATAAATAAATAAATAATTTAAAAAAATTCAGATTCATTATCCTAATTCATTGCACAATTCTTCAAAGCTCTCTGGTGCAACTCATTGCCTTGACCACAATTGTAGCATTATCAGGCGATCTACGAGCAAGCAGGTTCGCCGCGGCCGTAGACAAGACCGTACCCCAAAGGGGGGGGACAAGCAGCCCGCTTCTTCTACCGGTCAGGTGGTCAGGAGAGCAGGACGACTAATTCCCTGCTTTACCTGCTCAGCCTATCTCGCCAACTGATCCCCTGCCAGAGCTCCCTCTTGGTACCGCTGAGATAGCTCACCTCAGGATGGAGGACTCCATGGTGTCTCAACCTAAGAACACCGCCTCCCCACCCACCAGCCGCAAAAGGCAGAAATCCTCCAAGCAGGAGGTAGGATCAAGGCCAAGACCATTTCTGGAAGGAAACCTTCCAAGTTGGCAGAGAAACAGGCTAGCAGAAGGCACCAGGCTTTGAAGAAAGAATTCTCCAAAGTGCAGAAGCAGGCCAGGGCAAAGGCGGAGCAAACAGATGACGCGCTCTTCGATCTCCCTTATCCCTCCTCTCAAGGGGTCTGGTTCCCGGAGGGGAACCCTCTTCTGGGATGGATCAGGTCCAATCGATCCAACAACCATCACTGTCACTGCGGGTCATACATTCGACCCCAGAGGCCACCTTCACCCCCACAGCAGCAGGGGTCAGGGGGGCTGAGCCCGAGGGATCTCCTTCTGAGGATTGGCTCCAAACCCTGATCACTCAGGCGGTTGACGGCGCTTGCCGCCAGGTCCCACCACGAGCCAAGACCTGAATCCTTGGCTTCCATACCCCCACCCTTCTTTCAGTCAGGTACACCCAATTACCAGGGTCCTTTCTCTCCACCCCGATCCTATCATAGCAGGGCCTCATCCCCTATGGAGGATGATCAACCTGACATGTCTTGGTGGGAGGAGGAAGACCTCCCCCCCGACCCTCCTCCATTTGGGGGGCTATTCAACCTGGCCTTTTTCCTTCCACTGCTCTGCAGAGCCAGCTCCACGGCCAACATAGGTCCTGATCAGATCCCACAGCCAGACCCACCACCCAGTTCAGATTCGAACCCGGTGTTTTTTGAACCTGTCATGACCCAGCACCACGTCCCTTACCCGGCACTCTTTCGCAACGCAATCCGGAAACAATGGGCATCACCTGGCACCTTTCCCCCCTTGGGGGGAACGGACAGAAAACTATTCAGTGCAGTGCCAGACCTGTCACAGGATCTCGAGGTGCCAACGGTGGATGAACCCTTTGGTCCCCTCTTGTCCTCATCCACAGTGTCGGGGGATATGGCAGAGGTGCTAAAGGCCGATGACAGGAGATGGGAACTGACATTCCGCAGGACTCACCAGGAGGCGGCGTGGGTGTTAAGAGCTGCCACCTGTGCATCCTTCTTTGCCAGAACCTCCTTACTCTGGTTCCGCCAACTACAAGCCAGGCTCCCTCAGGAGGAGGTACGTACCCAACAAGACCTGAGCAAGCTTGTTGCAGCATTGGAGTATGTCTCAGATGCCACGCTACATGCGGCCAGGTTCTCATCTAGAACTATAGCATCCAACGTTTCAGCACACAGGATGCTATGGCTCAGACACTGGCAAAACGACCCAAAGGCCAAGTGGCGTCTAGCTACGGCCCCTTATTAGGGTGGTCAACTGTTCGGAGAAGCCCTGGCTCCTTATTTGACCAAAAATAAGGACAAGCGGAAGGTGTTGGTCTACTCCAGCAGATGGGCCGACAGGTGTGCAAACCCGTACGCCCGCAGGCAGTCCTTTCGGCCAGGAATGGGCACAGGCCTCCCTCAGCCTTCCCGCCCCTTCATGGCCAGACAGGATCGTCCATCAGACAGGACCGGCCCCAGACCCAGGCATCAATTCCAGAGCAAATGGCCCTTCCGAGGGGGGGTCGTCCCTATAGAAGGTCCAAGTGACTCTCGAGCTGCTCCCCCCATAGGTGGCAGGCTGGTGCTCTTCCCACCAGTGGGAAGCCACCACCACAGATTCCTGGGTTTGCCAAACCATTCGATACGGCCTGTCCCTGGAATTCGTGTCCAGTCCCCCAGGGCGCTTCATTTCTTGCCCTCATCAAGGAACCCCGTCAAAAGCAGCCTCATGCGAGAGGCCATTTGACACCTCCTGGAGATAAAAGCCATAGAACAGGTGCCGGCCGGACAACTGGGGCGGGGATTCTACTCCATCCTCTTCGTGGTTCCCAAAGTCTCGGGGGGGGGGGATGGAGGGCAATTCTAGAGCTCAAAGGTCTGAATCATCATATCGCATATCGAAAGATGCAAACCCTTCACTCTATCTTGGGCAGCATAAGGAACGGGAATTTCCTGACATCCATAAACCTCATGGAAACGTACCTCCACATCCCCATCTTCCCCAACCACCGGCAGTTCCTCAGATTCTGCTAAGCGGGCCATCACTACCAAAACAGGGCCCTTCCGTTCGGCCTCTCATCAGCTCCAAGGGTGTTCACCAAGGTCCTGGCGATGTTGGCTGCACACCTACAAATGGTACCGGCGCGCCTCCAGTGTTACCTGGACGACATTCTCATTCAGTCATCCTCCCTTCAGGCCACCCGGTCGGACCTAACGTCGATCAAGGTCCTTCAGGAGCACAGGTTCTCGGTGAACTTTCAGAAAAGTCAGACCGTCCCCTCCACCCGACTCCTACACCTGGGTGCTGTCATAGACACACTCAGTTGTCAGGCCTACCTGTCACAGGAGCGTCGGGACAGCATCCGGACCCTGGCCCTCAGGGTTCGCAGGGAACAAGTAGTACCACTGGTCCTGATTTCCCAGCTCCTGGGAATGATGGTCTCGTGCATTGCAATAGTCCCTTGGGCCAGACTGTATTCCAGGGACCTCCAATGGTTCCTCCTCCCCTTCCAAAGGCTGGGCATCAGCTCTTCCAAACCAACGGGTAAGGGTCCCCCCCAAACCCTGTGTTCTCTCAGGTGGTGGTCCTCGCCAGCAGTAGCCAGAGGGTCACACTTCAAGGAACCCGCCCGGTTCACGCTTATGACGGACGCCAGTGTGTTTGGCTGGGGAGCACACCTGCAGTCTCAATTGGCCCAGGTACAATGGTCCCACGCAGATCTGAAACACAATATCAATTGATTGGACCTCAGAGCCATACACCTGGCCCTCCGCTACTTCCGCAACGGTGGTGATGCAACACATACTAGTCCTCATGGACAACGTGACGGCAAAGGCCCACGTGAACTGGCAAGGGGGGACCCAATCCAGGGCCCTCATGACCGAAGCCCAGGCATTGGGCTCCTGGGCAGAGACCAACCTGTCCTCCCTCAGGGCCGAACACATCTCGGGAGGCGAATCGACAAGTGGATTTTCTCAGCAGGTCGACTGTAGACCATTCGGAATGGCGCCTGCATCCGGACCTCTTCGTGGAAATAGCACAGAGGTTTGGACAACCAGTCATAGACTTGTTCGCTTCACTGGCCAATTCCCAACTTCCAAGGTTCTTCTCCCGGTTTCCATCCCCAGGGGTGGAGGGAGCGGACATTCTCAGATGCCCATGGCCGGGGGAACTGCTTTACGCGTTTCCACCCTCCCTCTGATTCCAGCAACCATCCGCAAGATGTTGCAGGAACGGGCAAAGGTCATACTTGTGGCCCCGCGTGAAGACCGTGGTTCGCCGACCTAGTGAACCTCTCCAGCTCCTCTCCATGGAGGATTCCCCCGGACTGCGTGTCTCTCAGCCAGGGAGTTCTACAACACCCAGAACCCCAGTGGCTGCAGTTAGCCGCCTGGCACTTGAGCACCGGATCCTGAGCAGGGAATCATACTCCACAAGAGTAATTTCCATGATTCAGGCCTCCTGCCGACAAATCGCATCTATGACTCCACATGGAGGAATTTTTGCAATTGGTGCAAGAGGCGGCTACTAGACGTCTTGGACCTGACAATCCCGAGAATCCTGGAATACTTGCTTGAGGGCCTAGACGGGTTTAGCGCCTAACACTGTCCGCAGGCAGGTTGCAGCCCTGTCCACCGTACTCACCTGCGCCAATTCAGTGCCTTTAACACAGTATCCCAGGATACGCTCCTTTCTCAAGGGCGCCACCAACACTAAACCACCCGTGGTACATAGGCACTCCTGGGAACTGCCATGGGTCCTGCGGGCCCTCACCAAATCACCGTTTGAGCCCATCAGGTCTTGCACCCTGAGGTCTCTGTCCCTCAAGGTCAATTTCCTGGTCGCTATCACGTCAGCCAGGCGCATGTCTGAGCTTGCGGCACTGTTGGTCAGGGAGGACCTCTGCACCTTTCACCAAAATCGGGTGGTCCTCCAATTGGACCCTACCTTCATCCCTAAGGTCAACACCCTTTTTCATAGGGCCCAAGAAATCATTTTGCCAGAATTCTGCCCTAACTCGTCTCATGCCTTGTAACAGCAGTGGCACGCACTGGACGTTCGCAGGGTGTTACGCTACTATATCAAGTGAACGGAGCCCTTCCGCAAATCTGAAGCCCTCTTTGTTTCCTTTCACCATGCCTCTAGCGGGCAGAAGGTGTCCGCTTCAACCATAGGCAGGTGGATCAAGGCTTGCATCGCGGAGGCGTACGGTCACTTTCCCTACCAGTGCCACGTCACGGCACATTCTACTCGCAGTGCTGCGACCTCTGTGGCATGGGCCACACAGGCCTCTATTGAGGAGGTCTGCAGGGCGGCGACATGGTCATCGCCCTCCCCATTCGTACGGCATTATAAGATAGACCGATTTGCATCTGCGGACGCTTCCTTTGGAAGGAGGGTCCTTCAACAGGTGACTACTGGGGACGTGGCTAGGGCCCCCGCTGTTTCCTCCCCATTGGGACAGTGAGGCTTTGGTATGTCCCATTGGTGGATTCTCCATCTCTGGTGCTGGAGAAAAGGGGCGTTGTCTTACCTGAACGCCTTTTCTCAGCATGGAGATGGAGAATCCACTCCCACCGTTATGCTCAGTTAGGCCATATTAGGGGTCCGGGAGCCAACACGTTGGACTGTCGTCAGCTGCTTTCGCCTTCATCAAGACTGGGAGTGGCTTATCCCAAGACAGGCGTGGCAAGTTTGGCTGACTTGGTCTAATGGGCAGGAAGGCAGAGCTAACCCATTGGTGGATTCTCCATCTCCATGCTGAGAAAAGGCGTTCAGGTAAGACAACGCCCCTTTTCACTGTTAAAAGAGAATTTTACAAGATAATGTTTCTACTATCGTAAAGAAAATTTATATCTAGCATGCAATTTGTCTCTAAATTAAAATTGTAATAAAATTTTGCCAAATGTTTTCTCTTACTTTAGCAACTTATTTTTAACCACTTTATTGCCAGCAGCTGACTTAATGGAATTGGATATGGCAATGGAGCCAGACCGAAAAGCAGCTGTCAGCCATTGGCAGCAACAGTCATACCTAGATTCTGGTATCCACTCTGGTGCCACAACCACAGCTCCCTCTCTGAGTGGCAAGGGAAACCCTGAAGAGGAAGATGTTGATACCACCCAAGTTCTATATGAATGGGAACAAGGATTCTCTCAGTCTTTCACTCAGGATCAGGTAGCTGGTAAGTAGAATTCTGTGATCGTATTAATCACTCAAATGCATATCAGTAGATTAAAAAGAGCTTATTCTTGTTCAGATATTGATGGACAATATGCTATGACTCGAGCACAGAGAGTGCGTGCTGCCATGTTCCCAGAAACATTGGATGAAGGCATGCAAATCCCATCCACACAGTTTGATGCTGCACATCCAACAAATGTACAGCGACTTGCCGAACCTTCCCAGATGTTAAAACATGCTGTGGTTAATTTGATAAACTACCAAGATGATGCAGAGCTTGCAACTCGTGCCATCCCAGAATTGACCAAATTGTTAAATGATGAGGACCAGGTATGTGCACATTGATTCAGCTTATGTTTATTGTGATTGCTAAGAGGCATCACTTCGTGGACTTACTTTTGGATTTTGAAAATATTAAATTTCATTGCATTTATTAGGTTGTGGTGAACAAAGCAGCAGTTATGGTTCATCAGTTGTCCAAAAAAGAAGCTTCTCGTCATGCTATCATGCGTTCTCCTCAAATGGTTTCTGCAATTGTGCGTACTATGCAGAATACAAATGATGTAGAAACAGCCCGTTGTACTGCAGGTACATTACATAACCTATCTCATCATCGTGAAGGCTTACTCGCAATCTTCAAATCGGGAGGTATTCCTGCTCTGGTTAAAATGCTCGGGTATGTAAATTAATTAATTTGATGTATCTATGCACTATATGTTGGCTTTGGGTAGGATATTTGTTAATTTGACTTTTCTCTGTAGGTCTCCAGTGGATTCTGTGCTTTTCTATGCGATTACTACTCTGCACAATCTTCTGTTGCATCAGGAAGGTGCTAAAATGGCTGTCCGTCTAGCTGGAGGTTTACAGAAAATGGTTGCCTTGCTCAACAAGACAAATGTTAAGTTTCTGGCAATTACAACAGATTGTCTTCAGATTCTTGCATATGGTAATCAAGAAAGCAAGGTAATACTAAATTATATTCTGCAGTGAATAAGTAGTAAGTTGGGAAATTATGGGACACATATAAAATATTTTACTAAGGTAATCCCATTCTCTATTCTTGTGTATATGATTTGAACTTCAAGAATAGTTACCTTCATGTCAGTAATAAAACACTAGTTTCACATACAAATGACCTCAACCTCATGCATACATAATATCATTAAATAGGATTAGAAAGAATTACTGTCATCGGTATTAGGAGATTAGCCAATGGTCTATAATATAAAATATTTATTTATTACATATATACCACCTGTATGAGATTCCAGGAGAAAATGCAGTTTTCTACTTTAGTATGTACAGATATGCTGACAACAGGAGAGCAGGAAGAAATTGCAGTTCCATCTTTAAAAAGATTATACTGCTTAGCCTATATTGCTCTTTTACTAAATCCTTTTTTTTTTTTTGGCAGCTAATTATTTTGGCAAGTGGTGGACCCCAGGCTCTAGTAAACATAATGAGGACCTACACCTATGAGAAATTATTGTGGACCACAAGTAGAGTCCTGAAAGTGCTATCAGTCTGTTCTAGTAACAAACCAGCAATTGTGGAAGCTGGTAAGTGCTTCAGTTTCATTAAATCAGGACTGCTTTTGTTTTGGACTTATGCAAAAATTACTAAAAATTATCTTTGCAGGGAATACGTAATAAAATGACTATACTGTATAGGGAATATTCTAAACTGGGCGGAATGTATCAATAACAAAAGGTATTTTTAACAAAAATATTGTCAGTTAAGTAAACTAAAAACTATTGATATAGCAGACATTTTCCCAAAAAATTTATTCTTGAAATTTTAATGACTGTTAAAAGGTATATCGTATATTTTTGGTGTTACTATTGCAGTTTTTGTTCTTAACATTTTTAATAATTTTGATCTGTCCAAATATTTGGGCTTTTGGAAAGATTAGGCTCATAATTTTGTAACTTCTTTTACCGTGGTCCAGTTAATGGATTAGTAGTTTGTCAAACGTGGAATGTGTTACAGTCAGAAGTGCATGTCTTATGGTGAGAACCTATTGCAAGTATACATGTGGAATTGCGAATCAAATTAGATCTTGAGGCTAATAACTGCTCTATACAGTTCCTTGAACATTGTATAGCTGGTATCCTTTAATTTCATCATGGTTACATGAATACAGACATGACAGTAACTGTCCTTGCAGTGAAGTAAGCACATTAACAGTATTTCCTTCATAATGAGAGGTTGGAATATTGATAGTAAATTCTAATTGATCTTTAGGTGGAATGCAAGCCTTGGGACTCCATCTTACAGATCCAAGCCAACGTCTTGTTCAGAATTGTCTCTGGACTCTTAGAAATCTCTCAGATGCTGCAACTAAGCAAGTAAGGGTTGGGAACTTTGAAAGATTATTAATATTTTATTATAAACTGGTCTTGGTATTTAAAATGTATTTTTATTACATTATAGTTGATATGATACTGTTATTGTGGTATTGCTCAAAACTGAAATTATGATCTTTTTAAAAAACATTTGAATTAATGGATAGTTCTAGGGAACAACTTAATGATAAATTCAGGCAGAATGCTAAATAAGATTTTCATCATAATTTTAGGTCTTGTAATTTCTTGTTTTCATGTTGAACCAGATTAATTAATTAAAAGACAAATTATAATTTTATGGATTTGATTGGAACTGCAAGACAAAAACATAAATGCTTAGTTATTCATAATAAAAAAATATCTTTGGGCTCAAGCCACATGGTTATGACATACTATCAGAACTTCATCCACATTGTACAATTGAGAATTGGGTATAAAGATATTAAATTATTAATATAAGGTTTTTGTTTTTGTTAAGTGAAAAGCGTAACTATCTGATTAATTTGAAATGTGTATGATCAGGGGAAACACATATATCAGTTTCCAGCTCTATGATCATTTTATTATTTGGAATCTATATGCCCTTATAAAAACAACTTCCATAATGATGTAAGCATTTCCGTAATATATATAAATTAGGTCTAAATGAATTTAAAATATTCTTTAAATAAGAGGCTTCCCATATTAATTTGTTCCAATCGTCTTAGAAATAAACTTTTACCTTTATGTTCTAAGTATTCCTCAATAATTCCTTATCCTTATACTAACCTCAAGGTACAAGAAAGCCCTTAATGTGCCTTTATTTAGAAAACATAATGAGGACTTATACCTATAAGAAATTATTGTTCCTTGAAGGACTGTTAACTGTGATGCTAATAAAACAAAACAAAAAAGCTATGTTCTTGTTAGAAGCCACAGGTGAGAGTATCTTTACCAAAACACCAATAATCTAGGGTAGATCAAACAAATCTGGAGTGTGGTAGAGAGTATACAGGTAGTCCTTGCTCTATGACCAATTGCTTAACAACTGTTCAAATTATGACAAACTTCAAAAAAGGTACTCCACAAAGTCACCACTACCACCAGTCTCACAGTCATGTGATTGCATTTCGGGTGCTTGGCAACTGGCTTACATTTACAATCAGTTTAATCATCCTGCAGACACATGACTGTGATTTCCCATGTTTTTTGCCATTTTCGAGCAGAAAATATCAACAAACATCCATTGGATATGCTGCTGATACACTTATTAACCATGTAATTCATTTAATAACCATGGCAACAAGACTTTATGATCATGTGACGACCCATTTAACAACGATTATAACTTAGAACCAAAATTCTACACTTAATTGTGTTCATAAGTCAAGGACTATCTATAATTGCATACATAATAGCATATGATCTTCCAGAAAGGTTGATATTAAATACACCTCTTCTTACAGGAAGGCATGGAAGGTCTTTTGGGAACACTTGTGCAGCTTTTAGGATCAGATGATATCAATGTTGTGACTTGTGCTGCTGGCATCCTTTCTAATCTTACTTGCAATAACTACAAGAATAAAATGATGGTGTGCCAAGTTGGTGGAATTGAAGCCCTTGTGCGCACAGTTCTCCGTGCTGGTGACAGGGAAGACATCACTGAGCCAGCTATCTGTGCCCTACGCCACCTCACCAGTCGGCATCAGGAAGCTGAAATGGCCCAAAATGCAGTGCGCCTTCATTATGGTCTACCAGTGGTGGTTAAACTCCTGCATCCACCATCCCACTGGCCTCTTATAAAGGTAAGGTGATTTGGTAATGGAACTGTCAGTATTATGCTAGATTTGAATTGGGGAGGATGAAGTACACAAAATCTAGAAGGCTTCTAAAAACATCTTATTAAAATGATACAATGAATTAAAATTACTTTTAAAGGTTTGAGTTGTGGAGCTAAATTCTGCAGTACTGTGTATCATGTCATTTCTTTCTAATTGTTTTCCTTACATTTACAGGCTACTGTTGGCTTGATTCGTAATCTTGCTCTCTGTCCAGCAAATCATGCTCCATTGCGCGAACAAGGGGCAATACCAAGATTAGTGCAGCTACTAGTTAGAGCACATCAAGATACTCAACGTCGAACTTCAATGGGGGGTACACAGCAGCAGTTTGTGGTATGTGATTCTTGAGGCAGAATGTCATTAATTAGTAATGCAGGGATTCGAGGTAGAAAAGATCTCAAATTCTATTTACTTTAGTCAGTCAAGTATTTTTCCCCCAGCCCTGGTTATTGATCCATTTGTTACAAATTAGTATTTCATGAAGTAAACTTTAGTACAGGGGTCTTCAAACCTGGCTGAGGAATTCTGGGAGTTGAAGTCCACCAGTCATAAAAGGGCCAAGTTTGAAGATCCCTGCTTTAGTATATAAATAAAAAATCTGTTACATTTAAAGCAGCTAAATCAGTCAGCTGATTGCCATTAGTGCCCTTCTTTGTGGCTTTCCTACAAAGTCAATAGGGAAGTGGCAGAAGGTTGCAAAGGTGAAACCCTTATTTAAAGTACTGATGTGATTTGCTTAACTGAGAATGGAAGTGCTGGAATTTCCATTGCTAAGCAGTGTGGTCATGTAACATTGCTGTGTAAAACTGCATCACTTAGTGATAGAAATCCTGGTCCCAATTTTCGTTGTTAAGTGAGGTCTACCTATCAGAATGACTTGCTTTATGATATGAGTAGCTATATAAATTTTAAAAAATAAATGTCATGTTATAAATACTGTAAAATCTAAGGGCTTGAGGCTTTTAGTACTCATTCCCATGTACTGTGTAAGATTTTTAAAATTATTTGGGTCATGATAATCTTAGATCACAATATCCTCAATCCATTTGACATCTCAGTAGGTGGATGGGGTTTATAAGTAGTTTCTATCCATCTGTTTCTAGTAAGCAGACAGTAATACAAGAAACGGGGGCTTTAAGTACCTAGGCTACAGAAATTCAGATGACCATCAGGTGACAGCAAAGAGAAAATATTTTTTTGTTATTGGGTACAGTTTTTCAGACTTTGTACAATAACACTACCAAAATTCATAAAATGATTTTGTGCAATTGGTTTATGCTGTTAATGTGTGAAGTTGTGTTCTGGCATGATCTTCATAATCTCCATGCTGTAATAAATATGTATACCCATTAGAATAATTTTGATATGTATTGTAGCCCTTAAAAACATGGTTGTTATTAAGGTTTGTTTCTTCATGCTTTAACTACAGTCTTACAGATTTGATAACTCAGTGCTTATTGCAAATTATTGCAAAGGTAAAATTAAAACCAGTTCAGATGGTTTCCTTTTCAGAACTTGATCTCATAAGAGTTAAACTAATAACTTTTACTTGTTAAAGTATTGGTAAACTGTTAATATTAATTCTCTATAGGCAACCAAGAACATTTAAGCAGTAAATTTCAGTAAAGATATAGACATGATGAGGATGAAGTTATTCCAAAGATTTGTACCCAGAGCATTGTAGGTTCCAGGTGATTTAAGTTCATTGCAATTGAATTCACAAGTTGTGTTGCAATGTGGGGAAAAACATCGATGTTTATTGGCTTAATGAACTATATTAGATAGAACCCCTGGGCTCTCTGTGAGGCCCAAAGCCATGTGCACATCTCCAAATTCCCCCAAATAGGGTAATAAAATTTTTGGATGAGTTATCTTATTTGTTTTGGGAATAAGAAGCTAAAAGACAGAATATTTATTAGATCTTGAAAATTCAATAATGTCATTAAACCATTAATAAATTCAGCTGATTTTTCCTCTTAAGGTTTTTAAGTAGAAAAATCAACCCCTCAACATTTCTGTCAACTCAAAGACTTCCCTTTTGTCTCTTAATTGTCCTCCTCCCAAATGTGAAAGATGGGAATTCTGAACAGGAATCCCTACCCATTGCTGTTGCAGTGTTGTTAGATATGTCCCTTGAAACCCTTAAAAAGGCAAAAACATGTGACTAACCAGGAAACCTATCTGATAATTAAATGTATGAGAGCAGCTGAGTAAGTGAAAATGTTTATCTGATGAGGAAGAACGTTAATGTTGTGATGTTAATAGTGATCAACCATTCTTGGCATGAATATTAAGTCTACTATGTTTTTGTACAGGAGGGTGTGCGTATGGAGGAAATAGTTGAGGGCTGCACTGGAGCTCTTCATATCCTAGCTAGAGATGTCCACAATCGGATTGTAATTAGGGGTCTAAACACCATTCCACTCTTTGTGCAGGTAAGTAAAGTATTATGACAGATATTAAAACTAGATATGATCTAATGAAAGTACATTGCATGTGTTTTTTAAAACCTGATCTGAGTTCAGAGATTGGTAGTCAATACATAAGTTGGTATTCCTTGTAAAATAATTTGAAAATATGCTTGAAATCTCCAGTGGAAATAGGTTCTCAGTAGAGTTTCCTAAGGATAAGTCCTTGACTTATGACCATAATTGAACCTGCAATTTTGGTCAAAAGTCATGATGGTCATTAAATGGATCTCATGTAATTGTGCCCTATTTTATCCTTTCTGCAGCAGTTGTTAAGTGAACAGTTAAGTGAACAGCTATAGGGCGGTTTTGCCAGAAACCAGTAAATACTGGTTTCCAGCAAAAACATTAATTGCAGTCACATGACTGGGAGGTGCTGCAAATAACTGCAAATTCAGGCAGTTTGCTGAGCACTCAAATGCACTCATGTGATGGGACAGCAATTAGGACTTCACATTTTAAGTAGTTTTTGGGGGTCCCTCATAATTTCAAGCAGCCATAAGTGACCAGTTATAAGTCAGGACTACCTGCAGGGGATGCATTATTTATGTGCTCCATTGCAACTATAGTGTAGTTGTAATATTCAGTGTGAAGGTTCCTACCACAACTTGGATTCCTGATAATAGCCAGACATCGAGTCCTAGTTACTAATAATTTGTGTTTTAAAAACACCCCCAAATTTATTATTTTTCTTCCTACTGCTAGTTGCTATATTCCCCTATTGAGAACATCCAGAGAGTAGCTGCAGGTGTACTATGTGAATTGGCTCAAGACAAAGAAGCAGCTGAGGCAATTGAAGCAGAGGGAGCTACAGCACCATTAACAGAACTACTACATTCTAGAAACGAGGGTGTGGGTAAGTGAAATAGATAGGGATTCACTTTGCTTTGATTTTATGTTTCTCTACTAACATTCTTTTTTCCTTGGACAGCAACATATGCAGCTGCAGTATTATTCAGAATGTCTGAAGATAAACCCCAGGATTATAAGAAACGTCTGTCAGTGGAACTGACCAGTTCTCTTTTTAGGACTGAACCAATGGCTTGGAATGAGGTGGGTTAGAGTGCTAAATTTTCTCCATCTGACTTTCTTCCCATTCATAGAATTCTCTTTGAATTTCATACTAAGTTTCAAATTAAACATTTGAATAGAATAGAATAGAATAGAATAGAATAGAATAGAATAGAATAGAATAGAATAGAATAGAATAGAATAGAATAGAATATGACCTTGGAGGTCTTCTAGTCCATCCCCCTGCTCAAGCAGAACCTATACCATCTCAGACAAGCAACTGTCTAGCCTCTTTTTTAAAATCTCCAGTGATGGAGCGCCCATGATTTCTGGGAGCAAGCTAGTCCACTGGTTAATTTTCCTGTCAGGAAGTGACCCCCCTCTTCTTTGTGGCAGCTCCTCAAATACTGGAATACTGCTATCATGTCTCCCCTATGTTTTCTTTTCTTTAGACTAGCCAAATCCAAATATTACAGATAAACAGCAAACTATTAATCAGGATTTAGATTGAGTTCCTAGTACTTATTTTCATCTGTCTTTGCCCTATTTGCCAGCTATTACTTTATATTCTGTGTGGATTAATCTTCAGTGCAAAGTTAAATCACTGGAATACTTTTCCAAATTGATGTGCCTATAAAAATGTTATATAAGAAAGCAATCCATCCAATATTTAACCTTAACAGTATGACAAATATCACAGGAACAATTTTGCATGGGAAAAGTAATGTAAAACTTTCTTTAAAAAGGCTTCATTATTCTAAGACTATGTGAAAAGTAACTGGAACTGTCCATTCTATGCCTACATAGAAATAACATGTTTTTTGAAATTGTGGACCTGTAAACCAGTTTATAAAACTAAGATACATTTAGTTCAGAGGTCATTTTTCATATCTTTACAGAGTGCTGATTTGGGACTTGACATTGGTGCTCAAGGAGAACCTCTTGGCTATCGCCCAGATGGTATGTATCAATTCTGTAGCTGACTTGACTCAATCAAAACATTGAATGTGTACTAGCTGATCTTATTATAATTAACTTAGTTATTTGTATTGTTTGATGAAACAATGATAAAAGCTAACTTTCATCAGTCAGTGGGGAAGCCAGTAGGATGTCACATGACTGCAACTTGCAACATCCTGCTGTCTTCTCTATTAATTTTGCTTGTCAGAAATGGAATGGAAATCACAAATGGTAATCACTTGACCATGGGGTACTGCAACCATCATAATTGTGTGACAATTGCCAACTACAAGCACTAGCCATAAGTTTCCTTTTTTATTGCTGTTCTATCTTTGAATAGTCTTTGAACAAGTGGTCGCTAATTGATGACTGTACAACATATGTTGAAACCTTAGTACTTCAAGGCAATGTTAGCTGTTTGTATTCTAACATGTGAAGAGTACAGATTTATTTATATCAGCAGCATATTTTTAGACATGTTAGTTTCACAAATGTTGAAGAACAAGCCATACACTTACCTGGTGGCATATTTAAAAGTCTGTATTTAAGGTTTGTGTACTAGGTTTACAGCAGTATGCAGGCCAATGGCTTGGCTGAAATTTGTTTATGCTTCTGATAGTAGCATGCTTTATCCATGTAAATCTGGTCTAGAAAATGACCAGTGTGACTAGGTTATGGAAGTCACAGCCTGATACCTGGAACTTCTGTTGCATCTAACATATTGACATGCTTTCCCCCTCCTTCTTTGCCACCTTAACTTTTTTAGATCCTAGCTATCGTTCTTTCCACTCTGGAGGATATGGTCAGGATACCTTGGGTATGGACCCAATGATGGAACATGAAATGGGTGGCCATCACCCTGGTGCTGACTACCCAGTTGATGGGCTACCAGATCTAGGACATGCCCAGGACCTTATGGATGGACTCCCTCCAGGTGACAGTAATCAGTTGGCCTGGTTTGATACTGATCTGTAAATCATCCTTTTAGGTAAGAAACTGTATCTACAATCTGAGAACTTGGCTGGCAGGGAGGAACTGCTTTGGGCTGGTTCATATTGATCAGAAATAAGTATCAAATTTGAGATATAAACATTATTAACATGAATACATTATGCTGCAAATTTAGTGCAATTTTTAACATGAGTATTCATAATAATTATTCTAACTTTTGTTTTCTTTTACACAGCTGTATTTTCTGATCTCGCATTGTGATTGGCCTGTAGAATTGCTGAGAGTGCTCGTGGGGTGGGCTGGTTATCTCAGAAAGTGCCTGACACACTAACCAAGCTGAGTTTCCTATGGGAACAACTGAAGTAAACTTTTTGTTCTGGTCCTTCTGGTCGAGGAGTAACAAATGGATTTGGGGAGTGACTCATGAAATAGAAGAATGCACAAGAATGAATCACAAAATGAAATTTATCAAACTCTAGCCTTGCTTGTTTAAAACTTTTTTTAATTTTTAAATAACTGTAATGGTACTGATCTTGCTTGCTTTCATAGTAGTTTTCTCTTTTGCAGTAATTGTAGGGTTTTTAAGTCTCTGTGTTTAAGTTATAGTGAACATGCTACAGCAATTTCTGATTTTTAAGGATTGAGTAATGGTGTAGAACACTAATTCATAATCACTCTGATTGTATTCGGAAAAATGTAACATTGTGTAGCCCTTTTGTATAAAAAAAGTTAGACAAATAGAAATGGTCCAATTAGTTTCCTTTTTAATATGCTTAAAATAAGCAGGTGGATCTATTTCCTGTTTTTGATCAAAAACTTTATCTGGAAATGCTGGATAGAGGCCAATAAAAACTGTTGTATGGAACCTTGTATTGGACAGTTTACCAGTTGCCTTTTATCCAATATTATAGCCTGCTGTGATACAGATGCTTCATGAAAACAGTTATACAGATGGTTCAAAATTAAAGTAAACTTTTAATTCATTTTGTCGTGTGAAAAAGTTATTTCAGTCATGTGCACTACGATCCGGTGAAGTGCAAATTCATATATTTTTGCCCTAATGATACTATGATTTCCTGTCAAACAACATTCAAGGAATGCTTCACACCTACAGATTAATTCCATTCACTCAAGTTTTCTCAGTAGAACATAATATTGAGTAAATATTTAACATGATAGGAGTGTGCAGTTCTTCACTGTTATAATTTTATGAGTCAAATCATATAATTTAAATAAGGTGGAGGGATTGTAGCCTTCTATTTATTTGATGTTTCTGCCTCCTTGAAAATATTGCCGAGCAAACATGTATTCACAATATATAGGAAAATCCTTAAAAGAAACACTTTGACATGAAATGTCTTTTCTATTTATATACATATAAACAGCATTGGGCCAAAAAGAGAGTCATGGGGAAATGGGAGGTAATGCTATAATAGAAGTATTCTTTTCAGGGCCATTCAAGAAAAAATGGGCTTTTCCATTCTTTTTTTAAGCAGAGACTGCCTAGCTGCTGCAGATATAGAATAGGTTCCTGCCACTAGGACAGCATTATTATTTTTTTCTTTTTAAGTGTTGCACTTACATGAGTGTTTTTACAGTGCATTCATGTGGCACTTCTGACCAGCCTTGTGCAAATCACAGAAGTAGCATCCTGTAATTTTACGCTAGACAGGCAACATATTGAGTGTTTTATTATGCACGCATCTTTGGAAGAGGTGTGAAACAGCGGCTAGAGTATGTGCTGTTTAGTCTCTCATTGTTAGAAGAGCTGGCTAACTTCCAAGTGAATCTAGACAGGTGTCCAGGAAACTAAATTGACAGGTACAACTTTGAGAGGACGAATTCTGCCCCAATTGTTTAATTATGCTATTCCGTATAATTGAGCTGTTTTAATAGGAGCAATGGTAATCACAAAACTATTGTCGAGTATCAGCCCTGGCTGTCACACCAGATCCCAAAGATGCTTTTGTACCAAACTGTTATAGTGTGTGGAGTATGTGTGTGATTTCCAAAAATGAATCCTGCAAACCAGAAGCACTTTGAGATGTTTAAACATAACTTGCTTCAGGGCCTGCCTACTCAATATGGTTTGAACTGCTGGGTTGAGATGGGTAGGTGGATTGCATGAGCTGAAGAAAAATGTAACATTCTGTAATAGTCCATTATCAGATTGATAAAATTTTGTAGTTGTATAATCCTCTACAATAAATAAGAAATAGCCCCAGCCAGTGGTTTCTTGTCATTCATACAATGTCCCTCGCCAATCACAATATAGTATAAAAAATTGTGTCCCATCATAACTTCTTATAAACAATATTTAGGCATCTTGAGAGCCAATTTGGTCCAGTGGTTAAATGGCGCCTTAATTTCTAGTTCTACTTAGTCATGAAAGCTAGCTTTGTGACCTTAGGCTAGTCACTGTCTCTTAGACCAACTCGCCTCACATGTGGGTTGTAGAGAAAAGAGGAAGGAGCATTAGTAGATGTGTTCACTGCCTTGACTTATTTGTAAAAATAAGGCAAGATATAAATGTTACTATATTGTTACTAAATTTTAATAGCCAGTGTTCTACCTAACCATTTTATGAGCCTCACAAAATATTTTATACTGCATTACATGATACAGATGCTGTGCTGTTAATGGTTTGAAAGACAATAATTGGCACTTTGAACTGGACTCAAAAGCCTAGTGGTAAAAAATGTGGCAATAATAAAACTAAGTGTTACTCCAGTCTAATAGAATTATGTTATATATCTAGCTGCTGCATTGTCTATTGGTAGTCTGGGCCAATCTGGAGCTGCTAACAAAATCCTTTGTGCAGTCCCGAAGCTCATGAGGTTCTGGATGGGCCAAAATAAATTCAGATTAAATCTTTCCAAGATATTGCTAGCTATCAGTAGATATTGAGGTGACCTAATTGCATTAGCTCCTGTACGGTAGTCTATATGGGTTCAGGCACTTTCCCTGAAAAGAGGAAGAAAAAAAGATCTGTTCCAGCTGTCCAAGGCAGCCTGATGGAGAGAATGTCCGGTAGACTGGTTAATCGTGCTCCAGGCATGAATTAATAGAGCATCTTGCTCAGGTGAACTTCCTGAAGCTGAAGATGGGCAAAGGCTTCCTAGTCATAGCTTCTACCTGCTGATTAAGAAGGATTTTTTTTCTTCCTTTTTTCAAGGAAGATTCCAAGTGAGATTATGAACTAGCAGAAGCATGTCAAACTGACGGACTGCGGGCCAGATGCATCATGCTGAAAGCCATGCCCACCCCATTGCTGGCAATGGAAAAGTCACGATATGTCACGTGACATCACATGACTTGAGTTTGACATGCCTGAACTAGCAAGATCAACTTCTATTTCATAATCAACTTTAAATCCTGACTGAAAAGGCCTAAGATAATCCATTATATTTGGGGTCTTCTGTAGTTGATTTGCAATCACCTTCTCATCCCACCTTTACATGGAAATTGGAAAAACAATATTTTTTTGGGGGGAGGGAATTCAGGTTCATGGTATACTACTGCCTCCTTAAACAAAAATATCATTACATATTTTTCCAGAAATACATTACTTCCCACAGCTAGCTTTGATCATCTACACAAACCATTGATCAAGTACACAAGTGGCAGCATTCAAACGGGACCTTAACTCAGATGCTACATGGATAAAAGAATTCAAATACAAAAGGCATTGCCTAGTTAACTACAGTGAAACATCCAACCTAGAATGGAACAGACAATTTGATCTGTTAAGGCAGGGGTCCCCAATCCTCAGTCTGTGGACCAGTACTGGGCTGCAGCATGCCAACAACCAGTCTGCACAAGCAAGCATAGCCCCATCTGCGAGATGCAGCAGCAGACAAAACCACGCCCCCCCTAGTCCACAGAAAAAGCACTCTCCATGTAACTGGTCCCTGGTGCCCAAAAGGTTGGGGACCTCTGTTAAGGAACCTGGCAATTCATCTGGTGTGCATGCAGGGATTGATTGTGTCCTGTTATCTTTATTCTGAAGAGAGTTGCCAGGAAACTGGACATCATAAGTGCAGAGAAATGACATTTTGCTGCTTTGACTGCTACTGTCTAGGCCAAGGGTAGGCAACCTTGGCTCTTTTATGACTCGTGGACTTCAACTCCCAGAATTCCTGAGTCTAGGCAAAAGCGCTTAACCAGGTTCTGCTTCTGGTTTTCTGCCATTGTTACTTTAGGCATCTTCTCAGATATTTCTCTCAAAACCATTTCCTTTTACAAATCCCCCAAGCTATAATCAGAGCAAATGCAGTGGCAGTCTACGTTGAAATGATACAGGATTTAAATCTAATAAGCCATACTTTTTTGAAGTCAATTTTTACAATTTTTTATGGAAATTGTCAAATCTTTATTTAGGTACACCTCCAATACTTAATTTAAATCAAATTGAAATCAAAAGGCCTTGCATGAGAAAAAAGTCTAACATTGAGCCTAAACATCATTTAAAAAGTTAACTTGTGCCCAACTGTTCAGCATGATGTTACTGAAATTGTAATGATTTATGTTTCAAATCTTAAATATTGATTCTAAGATTTAAATACAGGATGCATTCAGCTAACAGTAAATATTGCAGAGAAAGATAGACTGTTGTCTGCATGATGCATTGTGACAATTTCCTATTAGACTAGGGAGAATCCAGCCGTCTGTTACTGGAATTTCTTGACTTTATCTTTGTTTCTTGTTCCTTCCAAGGAGTTAGAATAACAAATCCAAATCATACACATGAAAGGCAGCATGTGGGCTATGTTACATAATTCCAGTTAGCACTACCACCTTATCTTCAAAATGTAGATGAGAAATAAATGAAACAAAATAAATTTTATTTAAAATCCAAAAGAAATATAGATGCACAACAGAATGCATGCTGCTAATAATCAATTTTCCTGAGGATTTCAGAAGCCAAGGAAGCAATAGCTTTATCAGGATGGATGCTGAGAGAGAGAGAAAGAGAAATGGTTATTGTAAATAAAAAACATGGAGAATTATTTATTGAAAAATACAGACCTCATTTTAGCCATTTATAAAACGATTTTTTTATATTTTCGCCTCATTCTGGATATAGATACCTTCATTACCTCCTTAATCTTGCCATTTATTTGTTGAGAATCATTGTTTATAGAGAGCCATTTGGCCCTTGGTTTCACATCAGAAATACTGTTCTTTTGCTCTATCAAGTTCATATACTCTACTGTAGGTCAATTTAGCAACATCTGCCTTTAAGTTGGCTGATATGCATACTGGAACCATGGCTGCCATTTAATTCACATTTTCAGTACAGTAGAATTTTACTTGGTTTCAATCCAAAATTGGTAATATACAGATTGATATATAATATATTATGCTTGCATCTAATCAGATCTAGGAATTTCCTTGTGGAAGATGGCAACCACATTAGTGCAAAAATCTGGCAAGTCATGACACAGGAGTAAATCACCAAACAACATTCCACACAAAAAACGAGCTTGAAGGAATCTAAGTTAAAGGCCACTATATATGATCAGCACCAAAACAAAATTACATAGTAGTCTTGATCGGCAAAATGTTCTGAAAAAGAGTCATTGCTATTGTAAGAATACCTGTTAACCAAAACTAAGAACTATGTGACATTTCAGATTACTTGTAGGAACCCAATAATGGAAACCTCCTTAAAACCAAAGAGCTTATGTTTTGAATTTTATGCTGAACTCTGGAACATCCTAGAATCATCATCCCAAATCTCTATACATACCATCATCTTGAATGATTAATTCAATATCAGATCATACAGTTATTGGCAATGAAAGTTTAAAAAAAGAATGTGACTGATTTGAAGTGAATAGAATAACAGTCTGTTATTCTACATTACACATCTGACATCAGCTACATTTAGATCATACTGAGAAGAAGCTATAGTTGCTATTTTGGAGGGTAAGCTTTGACAGGAAAGCTTTGTGGGAAGACAGTGGCAGAGCAAACAGCAAGCCTCAAATGTATATGTGGCTTGTATTGAAGCATAATGTAGTCTTTGGAAAGAAATGTAACCAAGAGTTTAGAGTCTGCCTGGTCAGATTAGGTATTTGGAAATGTTCCGAAGAGTGAGAAGGTTGGTAGAGATACTTCACAACGAAACTATTTTCTTACAAGAAGACCGAAGAGTCACCAAAGATGTCATTGTGATAACTTGATAAAGTAATCTCATAAAAGGTTCCCCCAAATAATTCAAAGTTGAATTTTTTAACCAGATACAAGGATGATGCAATATAGTCAGCTGAAAAAACATTTCATGCAGTTTAAGGAACACAACAGGATATCGGGGATGTTGCACAATGTTTCAAAATTCACTATATACATGATCTGAACCTAAAATGCAAGGCCCCTAAAAACAATGGCACACATGGTAAAATGAGTGATAGTGATACAAGTGATTTGGGTGATGTTCTTTCAAGATACATTTCAATAAGTTCAATTCCAAATACATGTTCATAACTAGCATGCCCATCCTTTTTTAAATGGTTTAATTTCTCTGCACTTATATCTAGTACTTCCTGTAACAGTGCCATGATAATAGTTTCTCCAAACTAAATAATCATTTACATTTCATAGTGATCTTGCAGTCATCTCCACAGAGGCATGAACTAATTCAAATAGTTCAAAATCTTTGCATCCAAGGCACAAAGAACAATAGAGAACAAGGTAGATGGCAGGGATATCTGGAACTTTTATGGACACAGAAAATATCTCCTAGGAAATTCTCCCTTGTCGGACCTGCCTTAGGCTTGAGCCTCTAAGAACGATCCTTAACACCACTGGGTTGAGAAAGGCAGAGTTTACTAGAAACCAAGTGAAATACAGTACTGCAAAGCCAGAACTGAAATTCACACACCAAAATCCCAAGTGTAACTTTTCCCTCCGAAAGGGGTCCCCCATAGTTGGTCCCCTCATGTCCAATCAAATTTAAAAGAATTTTTAGAACAGTCTCCTGAGGAATGCAGCTGTGCTCTGTTCCCAAGCAACTGACCTTGAGACCATATTTGGAAAGGAATGGTGAACTTTCATTCCCTTGAAGCATACTCCCCTCCTATCTGGCGCCCTGAGTTCATGGCAGACTTACCCAGAAAGAAGTTCTCGCAGTAGCGGAGTATTGAAAATTTGGGAATTTTTTATATCCTCTCCTGTCTCCCCCTTTTCCTCCTTTTCTCTTCAGGGCACCTCCAGCTTCCAAAACACCGATCAGCTAGAGCCCAGCGTTGATCCTGGAGCTTCTGCTGAGCCTCAACAGCCCTGCAGCTCCAGCTGTCTCTCCCTCAGGTTTGTGCAGCACTGTGGCCGCTTCAGCTCGTTCCTCCCCCCCCCGCTACCACTTCTCTAGGATGGTTGTGTACCACCTGCCAGGTGCCAAAGTACCACCGATGGTACGCGTACCACAGGTTGAAAAGCCCTGGTGTTCAGTATTCCTAAAAGCAGGGAATGACTAATAATGGTAGTTATTATGAGTAGAAATAGCCTGCATCAGTGTTAACAAAGCAGCTATCCAGGATTTTGGAGACAGTTGTGGAGATCCATGCTTTCAAATATTTTTCATAAACAGCCACTGGATACATCTTCCCTCTATTGTGTATTTGAAATAATCTATTTTTATCCATTACTTTTACTCATTTACTCCATTTTGCTGCCAATAGGCACAAGCACACAATGTGAGATGATACATTGGGAGAAAAAATGTGCCATAGAAATCTGGTATGCTATGTGAAGGGATCATACTGAAAGAATGCCAAATGGAGAAAGTGGAGAGGGAAAAGCTAGGAACTTAGAACAGAAGGAGCAACAGTGATAGAACAGTGCAGTGCAGTGTGGATTAGGAAATTAGAAAATTATACACAAGTCAACTATAGAGAGATGAAAGGGAGGAATGAGTGCAAAGATAGAAATTCCAGAAACCTAAGGGAACTCACCTGGATGCCTGGGCCAACTTCTCTAGCATTTGCACAAGAATTCCCCCATCATTCCTCAGGCTTTCACAATGTTTCTCATTTGAAGTTACCTGTTATCACAAGAAGAATTACCAAAAAATTAGAAAAATACTCATTTCTAACCAGTATAATCTCTCTACATCCCAGTAGTTCCACTACTGTATAATCTCTCTACATCCCAGTAGTTCCACTACTGTTTTAATCCAAATTCTCTGCAATCATTCCATCTCAAGTTTATATAATTATATAGTATGTTATATTTGGCCACAAGGATTTTTTAAATGCTAGACTAGATTATATTCTTTCTGAGCAAGATTAATTCAGGAATCAAATAATTCAAAGTAGAGGCGTGGGAAGTTGTTTATATTTTAATATGAATCAACCTATTTTGTATTTTATCAATTTGTCAGTTAGATGTATTCTATTCTTCTACAAATTTATAATGGAATTCTTGGTATTAAAGCAATGTATGCAAAAATGTATACTTTGTAGAAATATTTCTGTAGTGGTTAAGATACTGGATTAGAAACCAAGAGACTGTGAGTTCTTCTCCTCTATCGGACTAGGACTAGGTGATTTGGGGCAAGTCGCTCTTTCTGTCCTACTCCTTTCATAGAGCTTTGGTGTAGAGAAAATAGGGGGCAAAAGTATTATGTACACTGCCAGGAGTAGAAGGTGAAAGAGATACAGAATGCATTTGTGGAAAAAATGTTAATATAGCATAGGTATGTTCCATTTACAAAATACATGTGAATTATTAATGCATTTTTTACACCTAAGCTCATGTAGCAATGGAATAAAGTGAATTTATGCACAGTATATTTGAATCTGAACAAATTCAGATTTATCTATTCAGAGTTCAGAGTTCATTAGCTGAATACAAAAAAACAATTAAAATAGCAAAAAATCCCATGGCAGATTAACTTTTAAAATACAGTGTTTTTTTTACTAATGACAGAGAAAAAAAAACCTTAATAATTATTCAGCTTGGGAAAATTTACATGAACTCCACAGTAGTAATGTCTGCGTATAGAAGCTTTTATTAACAGGTTATTTAAAATTTATGCTGTTAAAAATGCATATAAAATGCTAGACTACCCCAGAACAACCCACTTCTCAGAAACATAGCCCCAGTTATCTTTCAATGTCATTAAAAGAAAGGTGTAATATGCTGAAACCTGTTTTCTCTGCAATGGATAAGTAATAGCTGATGTTATAAATCTTATGTATTTTGACTTTGCATTATTATAATGTACATGTGATTTTTTCTATACCTTTATAAAGTGTAATTTATGCTTTCCAATCATCAGACTTGATCCTAAATTCTCACTCTTTAGTAGATCAGATTTGATAATTATAAATAGTTCCAAAGAAACATCTCATTGTGTCATGCATCATTATTAATCATTTAAACAAAAAATAACTGGATTATTTTAAGATGGTATTTGAGTGTTTTGCTTTTAAAACGTAATTTCAGAAAGTGAATGAAAAAGATTTTGAGGTTTTTTTATACACATAATTTAAAAATATAGAGATTGCTTGAAATTCCTATAAGACATATATTAGAGGACAGATAATTGCTTGTGCAATTATTTTTTTGGGAAAAAAATAAATTAATATGTGACATTTTGTAAAATCACATTAAAGCACTTTTGATCAACTATGTGAATCAACCATGCTCAGAATGTTATAACACCTCTATGTACAATAAAATAAAGTTTAATTGTCCTTATACACAAGGTATCAAGTATTTATTGAAAAAGAGTTAACAAGATCAATAAAAATGAGAGGAAATACCTATTAAAGTACTAGTTTTTAGGCTGAAACAATATTTCAGAATTATTTCACACTTAAGAATTGTCTAGGAAACTGTATACTTTTGAGTCGCCAAAGCATTTTAAGAAATATACCTAGTTTTATTAACTAGGTTTGAGAGACTTGAACGAAGACATTAAAGACATTTTCAGATAAAATTTATATTCCAAAGATCACTCAGGACTAATCTGCCTTTATAGTACAAGAAACAGTAAACAGTAAATATTTATATCAGTGAACCAAACCTGAGGAGTTTTCTGCAGATTGGTACAAAATACTGCTTTGCTCCTATACTGCTGAAGATTGAAAATGATATTTCCTATTCCTTTTAAGATGTTTTTATAATTAATAATTTTGAAGGCTAGAGAGAGCTTGTGCATTCTTGTCTGATTTCACTGTTACAGGCTGATGCTAAAATGTTCACACTACATTGTTATAATGACTCCAACATTATTTTCCCCTACATAATGTTTTTTATAAAAGGACACTGAAAAACATCAGAATATTAACTAAGAAATTAGACATGTAGCTTGATGAACTAGACATGAAACTTCAGTGAACATTAAAAAACTGCCCAGTGAACTGAAAAAGAATAAGCTGAACCAAAATGGAGTTTCCAGAAATTCTCTCTTCAGTTTGAATCAAAGAAATAATCTGTACTTCTCTCAGTGCTGCTTATTCCAGCATATAAACCTTTATTAGTCAGAGTGAAACCTACAGTAAAGCAGGTGAGGGTTTGGACAGAGGGAGCTATAGAAAAGCATTACAAGACTGTTTTGAGTGCATGGATTGGGGCATGTTTAAAGAAGCAGCAACTGATAACCAACATATAAACGTTGAGGAGTATGCCACCACAGTGTCTGTAGATATCCAAAAGTGCACAGAGGATGTCAGTGTCCAAGCATTGTTGTGAGGACGAATGAAAAACCGGGCTGACTTATGAGGTCTGCAAGATGCCGAAAACATGAAATGTGGCTTTTAAATCCAGCAACATGTTGGCACTTAGAACAGCCAGAGCTAATTTGAAAAGTGCCATAAAAGGTGCAAAGCAAGCCCATTGCCAGAAAATTCAGAACTTTTTTCAGGACCCAACAAACACCAGGCGAATGTGGGAAGGGATCCAAGCCATTATGGATTATAAGGTGGCTCCATCGAGATACAGGGATGACACAGACTTTCTAAATGAGCTGAATACATTTTTGGGAAGTTTTGAGGCATCAAATAGCACTCCTGCTAGGAAAGCTGTGCCCCATCCTGACAAGCAAGTGCTTAGCTTTGATGTCACCTATGTCCGGAAAACACTGCAGACAGTTAACATTCGGAAAGCAGCAGGCCCAGATAACTATCCTCAGGGAATGTACCGAGGAGCTGGCTTCTGTTCTCACAGATATTTTCAACCTCTCATTGCAGCAGGCAGTGGTCCCATCGTGTTTTAAGACAGCCATCATTTTGCCAGTGTCAAAAAAGTCCACAATTACAGGCCTCAATGATTACCGTCTGGTTGCACTGACATCCATCATTATGAAATGCTTTGAGAAGCTGATAAAGGACATTATTGTATTTAGCCTCCCGCCAACATTTCACCTGCTTCAGTTTGCTTATCGACCAAATTGCTCTATGGGGGATGCTATTTCTTCTGTTCTCCATATGAGCTTCAAGCACTTAGAGGAAAGTAATATACATGTGCATTTGTTGTTCGTCGACTTCAGTTCGGCAGCATCTAGTAGACCAGTGATGGCGAACCTTTTAGAGACCGAGTGCCCAAAAACTGGCCCCATCCCCACTCTACCTCCCTGCTCCGCCCCCACTCTGCCCCTCCATCCCCTGCTCCGCCTGCCCACAGGACCACTCACCGCCTCCAGGGCCCGCCGCAGATCACCCAGGCAGCCCAGCAGCGCTATGGCGGCCACACCCTCTGCCCGCGTCCTGCAACATCAACTGCATGATGGGGTATGAGGGCAGAGTCTTGTCTACGCTGCCTGTCTGCCATGTCCTTGGCTGTGCTGCTCCATGTGGGTCACACTCGAGGGCGAATCTCCTTCAGAGGGGCTGCTGGAGAGGAGGGTGTCACGGGGGGAGGTAAGGCTGGAGCAACAGCATGTGTGCCCACAGAGAGGGCTCCGAGTGCCGCCTCTGGCACCCGTGCCATAGGTTCGCCACCACTGTAGTAGACAAACTGGGCCTTTTAGGCTTAAACACTCCTTTGTGCAACTGGATTCTTGATTTTCTTACTAACAGGCCCCAATATGTGCGAGCTGGAACAAGTATTTCTAACACCATTTTTTTGAGCAGTTTCTCCTCAGTGCTGCATCCTAAGTTGACCCATGACTGTAGTGCTAGGTTTGCCACCAACAATATGGTGAAGTTCACAGGTGATACAACAGTAGTGGGCCTTATTCATGATGACAATGACGGTGCTTACTGCAAGGAGCTTGAGGGTTTGGTGAACTGGTGTAAGAAAAACAACCTAGTTTTAAATACTGGAAAAACCAAAGAGATCATTGTCGATTTCAGAAAATGCAGGCACAGCCAGACCTCTCTGTGCATTAATGATTTACCTGTTGAGATGGTTACCAGCATCAAATTCCTGGGTGTGCAGTTAACAAGTAAGCTAGCTTGTTCCCTCAACAGTGAGACACTGGTGAAGCGGGCACAGCAGTGCCTGCATTTTCTGTGTTGCATGAGAAAAGCACATCTTCCTTCCCCTATCCTTACCACTTTCTACAGAAGGATGATAGAGAGCATCCTGTCATACAGAACCACAGTCTGGTTTAGAAGTATCAATGCTTCAGATAGGAAGGTGGTGCAGAGAGTGGTGAGGATGGCTGAAAAGATCATTGGCAATTCCCTCCCTTCCATCCAGGACATAGCACATAAGCGTTGCTTGAGCAGGGTCCACAAGATTGTCTGGGACACTACACATCCTCTTCGTGACCTGTTTTCCTTGTTACCTTCTGGGAGGAGGCCCCGTGGTATCCAAAGCAGAACATCCAGATTCAGTCACAGCTTTGTTCCATACAGTATTAACCTTGTAAACTCTAAAATTTCCTCCTTCCGTTATGTATTCAAGATGGACAGTGATTAATATTTATATGTTACTTATATGTAAGGGTGCAGCTCTATACATATGTTGTATATAGTATGTTTTAAATGTGTGTTATGTACAGTATGTGTACACTTTGAGAGGAAGCAACTAAATTTCATTTTTTTAACGTGTTCCACTGTGCCCACAGGAAAAAATGACAATAAATAAACA